CACAAAATATGGAAAAATACAGCCAAGAGAGAGCTTGTATGGTCCAAGTTCATGCACAACAATTCTGCAGTATTTTTTAATGTATCTTGTTATGTTTGTGCTCCTATTTGCACTTCGTTTCAGAGCTTATCTGCTGAAACTCTAGGAGCAAGCAGAAGTGTGGTATGACTCACCAAGTGACATTTTATAAACACTCCTACTCAGAGAAGGGTTAAACCCCTTAAAAGTATATATGAAAAGAGAAGCATTCAAGTTACTCAATATTAGTTTTTTTACATTATTACAGTCTCGAGGGATGCTGCTGCTCTGTACCATACTGCAGGTATGGGAGAAATAACCTAATCTTTTTCAACAGAGAAATTAGTATTTCTTAGTATGAGACCGATCGAGGTAAATTCTGTTGTCCAAATTTCTTATAAGAAAAAGTTCTAAACTGATGAAGAATTCTGAGCTGCATCTTCTGAAATAAACACCTGGTATTTTTATGTTCATTTTGTTCCTGGGTTCATAAGTGTCCTCTTGTTCTAGATACTGCTCTCTAAAACTGAGGATGCAAAACATTTGCCCTGTTTGTTTGAATTCCACAGATGAGTGAACACTTGGTTTAGTCCTGGTGTCCTGGAGGAATAGAAACTACTATAGCAGATGTTTATGAAAGTGTTTCTTTTGCCAGCCTTATAGCTGTAGACAAGTCAATCAGGGAAAATAAGCCTGGAACTCAAAAAATTGTTTCTGAATCGGTTTGTCTAATACATTACTGTTTGCTAGGTATTGACAATACATTGAGTGATGCAGAAGGGAGAGAAGAAGGTTTCAGTGTTTTGGGGACAGACGGCAAGCAAAGAAAATTGAGCACATAATTTTCATTTTAAGTTCTGTATCACTAGTGTGGTTTTGCATAAGGGCTGAACCCCACCTCCTTATACTGAGTTTAGAATAAGAGGGCTAGGCAGTAAAAATGGGCATAGGAATATAACTTGTAGCATCAGTTTGGAGATTTTGACATCAGCTTTCAACAATTAAAAATAGAGGTATTTTTACCCATTTGTGGAAGTGTATGGGTGTAATTTGATTGTTGACTACTAAACTCTGCTATGTATTAACAAAATGAGTTTTTTCACTTATCTCTGAGTCTCCTTATCTGTGTCTTGACTGTTGAAGCAAGGCCAGCACTTTGGTGTCATTAGTAACCTCGCACCACTCCCCACAGATCTTGCATTAAAATGATAGACGACTGGTTTTGAAACCCATACTAGGGTCACCTGTCTACTTCATGTGAATTGGGTAGCAACTGTATTCTTCAGGCCTGACATTTTACTGTCTGATGGAAAGTGAACATTTCTAAGGACCAGCAGAAAGCTGAGCTTGAGATCTTCAATTCACTTCAAGACTGTGATGACATTTCTCTCTCTATCAAGTGTTGCTCCACGACCCAAGATAATTACGTAGTCTAACTCGTTTTTCATCAATCTAATTAAGTACTTGTTTGGCATTTAATCCATCTGACTTCTGCTAGCGTTTCTTGTGCTATAACAATAACAAACCTAATCTGAAGCACACTGAATGGAACTGGTATTAAAAGTTTTTTGGAATGCATTCAGCCATATCCTTCTCATATTTTTCACAGTGATGAAAAATATGGGTTAGTAGTAGCCAAATGTATCTGTTTAGAGTTTATCAACACTCCATGTTTTTTAAATTATTTTCAAAAATAATGCTGTTTTAAATCACCATTTCAGCCACTCTTTCAAAAGGTGATGGTTGTACCTATGACAGAATTCTAGAACCAGGCAAAATATTCAAGTTTTACTCTACAAAGCTGAGAAGCTTCATGTTGGGAATCAGTACCTAGAATTGCTGCATTCCTTTTACCCACATTGTATGAATGATAACTTTATATTCCTTTTAAGAATTTGGCTTGACGAAATCAGCTATTACTTGCCAAACACAATAAATTTAATTCTTTAAGAACTCAATTTCACTAGCTCTCTGGATGCACCCTGAATATCTGTTCTTGTGTTGTCCATCCCTTCTGTTCTCAAGCATGCAGGCAATCTTCTCAGTTTGAAGCCAAAAGGCTTACTAGGTTTCTCAAGTCTCCAAAATTTCCTGTTACTTTAACAATTTAGAGATCAATTTACATATTTTGGCTCAGTCATATGTAACTTTTCTTCTGGGGATGCTCAGAGGATATCTGGTCTCAAGAACTTCAGAGCTTCATATTGGCTCTGCCTGATAATTGCATTATGATCTCCTGGTTCATGTCTTTTGCTGGAAATCTTGAATTATGACATGGATGATGAAATTCATCATGAATGATGGTTCTGTCTTCCTTTTATGTATCTGTGAGGTGAAATTACTGTTTCTTACATGTGTACGTAAATGCACGCATCTTAAACCCCGATATACTATGCTGTATAACTGGCTGTTTCACATCTGCATATGATTGCTTTTCATGAAATTATTTTAACGGTGTTCCATTGTTCTTTTGAAGTTTCCATTGGCAAATTAGTTATCTCTAAAACTCATATCTCCTTTTACAGTCATACACTCAATTACTGATTTTCTGATTAAGAAGTAATCTGTTCAGATTTACTCTACGGAAAGATTTTTTTTTTTCAGTTGTAGATTTGAAACATTGCTGTGAATAAGAGCTGGATTTTAAGCTGTTTGACTAAGTTTCTTCACTGTTTTAACTGCAGATTTTAACAGCAGCTTCTGGCTATTTTTGTGTACCCCAGAGGTCCAGTAATGCCAAAGAGTTCTTTTGAACCATTTGGAACAAGTGATGGATATCTGTTCACATACTTAAGATTCTTTTCTGAAATGCTTATTCATAGGGATGGTCCCATTGACCTCAGTAAGATTATTTGTGTAAATTCCAGTTATCTCAGCAAGAATTATGGAACTGGACCCCCAGTGACTTCTCATAAGTAGCACAATCTGGGTTGTGTTCCAAGTCTTCCGTAAGGGCTTTAGACGATATTTTCAGATTTTGGATTAAAATGGCATTTTAATCTGATGACTTGAAACATTTTTTGAAAGAGTAGAGACATCTGCCTATTCTGAGCATAGGAAATAACCATAATATTATTGGTAACAATGTGATATCTATGAGTAAATGTTGCTTTTTTTAAGTAGTAATTACTGCATATGGTATCTTACTGTCCTCTTTTTTACATAAAT